CTTCTTCAGTTCAAAAGGCTCTAAGAGAGCTTACATAAAGTCAGTAAAAAAAAAAAAGAAGACGACGACATTCTCTGCCTGAAGGCTTGCAATGTAAAGATGAGGCAGAAAAGAGGAAAAAGGCTTAAAAGGGAAAGGAAAGCAAGAAAGCAAACTCAGATGATTGTTCTTAAACCGCTTTTCTGCAATCATCTGTAGTGTAACATTTTTATCCCAGTTTTATCCCAGGAATAATTTTTTCATGTGGATAGGATATTTTTTATTCCGCTATGGTTTTCTTGATTCATTCAAATCAGAGACCACCTGTCTAGAGCTGGTAGTTGCTAATCTTGAGAGAGGCAAGAGATTAGGTCCTTGTTTGAGTCTTCTAATTGTTTTTTCATTAGTTTTTGTTTTAGTAATATAAAACCTGGTACTCTGCAGGAAAAAAATATTTCTTTTAAAATCAGTTCTGATGTAAATTGAAACAATTTCAAACTGCTAGTCTGGAATGGAGCAGCATGGGTATTTTAGGATTAAATGAATACATTTGGTGGCTCAGTAGCTAAGACGCTTAGCTTGTCGATCAGAAAGGTCGGCAGTTCAGCGATTCGAATCCCTAGCGCTGCGTAACGGAGTGAGCTCCCATTACTGGTCCCAGCTTCTGCCAATCTAGCAGTTTGAAAGCATGTAAAAATACAAGGAGAAAAATAGGCACCACCTTTGATGGACAGGTAACACCATTCCGTGCACCTTCGGCATTTAGTCATGCTGGCCACTTGACCACGGAGACGTCTTTTGACAGTGCTGGCTCTTCGGCTTTGAAACAGTGATGAACACCGCCTTCTAGAGTCGGGAACGACTAGCATGCATGTGCGAGGGAAACCTTTACCTTTACCTAAATAAATACATTTCTTTGAAATATTGAGTGTTAAGAATTTAATGTGTTATATTTTTATTTAACAGGTAGGAGATGGTAGGGGAGAGTTGAAAATATCCTGCTCCATTGTCCAAGGTGTACGGCATCTCTGTCTTTCCATACTTCATTTAAACACCACCGTGAAGGAGCATCTTCCATTGAGCTTTTTTTATACTGAGAAGTGTGGGCAGCCAGCTGTGCTTCGGAATAATGAAAAAATGTATCATAAAAAACAGTAACTCCAACAATTGTCCTCTACATACAAAACAATTGTCCTCCTTTAAAAAAAGTATAGTGCTATGCCATGAATAAAAGAGTAAAGTTAGGCATATGTACACTACCTGGGGGACACTGGACAGTATATTTTCAGAGTTTTCATCTCGGCATGGTTCTAATTAGCAGATTTCTTGCCCTCCTCATCCCAACACTTGAATATTGGAAGGACCAAACGTTTTCTATTTTGCACCAATTTGGTTGTGATTGGGATACATTAAGTTCGAAACACCACTTAAAGTAGTCTTTAAAAAATCAGAATACAATAGAAACTCTTGAGGTAGAGTAGAAGGAAATTGACACCAAGTGAACACCAGTATTGTATAGTATATATCTTTTGTAAGTGCCTGCTGTAAATAACCCCATTATATACAGGTAGTCCTTTTTAGCTACCAAAGGTGGGATTGGTAACGTTCATTAAGCAATGCAGTCACTAAGTGAGATATTATGTGACTTATGTACTTATGATTTTATTTATCTTTCCTCTGCTTTACAGACCCGCAAAGCTCATTGATGGAGGCATTGGTGGTGAAGTTATTTCTTTAACACCATCACAATGGTGAAGGGTCATTGTCTCAAACAGTTATTAAGTGATAACTGCTGTATAGTGAAAAGCATAAAAGCCTCCACTGTCCTGTTTTTTCTGGATTGGTTGTGTCCCTGAAAAACAGTACACTTTCAGTTTAAAAAAAGACAGGAGGATACAATGACTATTCAGTTGAAGTCTTGTCTGGAGGTATCTACATTCCATCTTACTTATTTGCATGCTAGAATTATTTGCTGACATTTTATTTTATTTAAGAACATGTATGGGCCACCCCCTAGAGGTGGAGCTCTCGCCTCACAATCAGTAGGCCGTGAGTTCGGTCCCAGGTAGCAGCAGATATTTCTCTCTCTGGTCATAATGAGAATATATCTGCTGTGAGCTCCACATAGACATCAGGCCATTTAAACTCTTAGTTCCATTCAGTCACCCCAACTCCACCCCAATGCAAGGGATTTAGGGTTGTTAAAAGAAAAAATAAATGGCCATCCAACTTGCTCTTGGTGATTCCAGGCAGCTTACACGGACAAAACTTCAATAAAAATGTTACATCCATCCACCCAAACAGATAGAAGTAATATGTGAAACTTTATGAATTGTCATTAGGTTCTATGCGGTATATTCTTCTTATATCATAATAAATAGACAGAAGCTGGTCCCCTCTTCCACTTCCCTTTCATATCTTTCATCTATTGTAGTTTATTTAAGGTCTTGCTTTTTCATGGAATAAGTGATATTATAGAGAAAGTATCAGATGGTAAGAAAACTGTGGTAACATAAATTCTGTAAGTATTTGAGATGAATTTAGAACGTTGTCATTAATTGAGCCTGAATCTATATATTGATCCAGAATTATGCAAAGATTAACTTGGTGGTAGGGTTAGATCAACAAATAGGGTAAGTGAAGTGAAAAACTAAAAGGATTTAAATGGAGATAGCTTCAGTTAATGTAATAGTAGCCCACTTCCAAATATTATTTTGCTTTTTTAAAAAAAATAAATAGTAGATTTGAAGTCGGAACTAGTTTGACAAGTTGAAGATTAGACATTTATCTGTGCCTAAGACTGGCTATGTTTTTCTAGCAACAAAGTGCGGTGGGAAACTTAGTGGGCTAATGAATTGTACCTTATATTAACCATATCCAAACATAGAAATTAGAGTTGTCCCTGTTTTGTTTTTTTTCCCCTTACAGCCTTCCTAAATAAGTCATCAGAAATCGGTAAGAAGAATATCTGGAAAATGAAGCTGCACAAAGGCTTGTTCACTCTTTCTGACAATTTTTCTGAATTAGTCCTCCCACTTCAGTTAGCCTGGCAACTGCATCAGCCTTTCTTCTTTCACAGCTGCTGTTAAAAAGAAATTAAGAATGGGATCATAATGTACTCAATATTGTCATGGCAGAATTGGGTGATCAACATATTACTTCTTTAATTCAAAAAGCATATTTGATCCAATCATAGTTTGTGGTATAAATAGCATATACTACCACATTAACTGGGTCAAAATCTGCAATTGAGGAAATGCAGAAGCCTTGGTTCCTGCAGGAAGTGCCTGGTATCCCCTGATCCCTGTGCCAGCAGAGAATTGGTGAGGTTTACTTTGTCAGCCCTTGGGCAGCACAGTAGATTTAGCTCAAGCACTGCTATGTTCTGTGGAAGGACGTAGCACTATGTTTGAAAAGGATGTCCAAAGAGTCTACCCTTTTCTCCATGGATGCAGCAGGATTGGTTATTCTCATGCCCTGATTGGTCCAGAGACTGAGTCAATTATTCTGAAGCCACGCCTATGACTCTACTCTTCCTTGGCCCCAGTTTAACTCAGTCTGATCTAAGAGAGGATTTATTTTCCTTGGCTCCACTTCTGAATTATTCCTCAGTCTTTGGATTAAAGCTTAAATTACATCAATGTGTAAAACTAACTTCTAACAATATTGGGAGTTACTAGAGGAGCATTCTAACACAGCCCCCTATTCTATGTGGTTGCCTTACTCCAAAAGGGGAAAACCCTCACCTTACTGGCATTAGGGAGCAGAGGAATTCTCTAGACTAGCGGAGGTTGCGTGGCTCCTGGTGTGTATCAAAGGACCGTGGGTAGCCAGAAGAACTGAGGCGGAGACCGGAATAAAGGCTAACAAGTTTTATTCCCTAACAAATACAGGCTAACTTTCAGAACCGGCTCTTAGACAGGAATGTGCGCTGCTCATTTGGACAGCTCCCTTTTTATACAGGAGCTGTCAAACGATCAGCCAATCAGGTGTCGAGCGCTTTCCGCTTAAACTCTTTATTTTAGCGCATGCTCAGAATGTGACACTCCTCCCCCCTAAGCTCGCGCAAGCGTAGTCTTGTAAATATGCTGGACGCCGCCTGATTCGGCCGGACGCTCAAGGCCCTCCGGCGCTGCCTGGTGACCCTGGATGCTCGGCTGAGGACTCTGCTTCGGAGGATGGTGATCGCCCGGGCCGTCAAAGAACTAAGGATGGTGCTGGCCCACCAAGTAAGTCGCCGCTTCGGTTTGGGGCACTGGCTGCTTGTTCTCTTGCGGCCTCCTTGTTTCTGGGCCCCGTGTTGCTCGCCGGAGTCGGTGGGTCGGTCGGTGGCTGCTGGTCGGTTGGTGGTTGGCGTCTGCTCCGCAGCTGGTCGCAGTGGCGTCTCCAAGTTCTGCCGTCATGGAGCCTGACCCTGTAGGAGCAGGGCCTGGTCTGGTCAGTCACAATGCCCGGTAGCCACAAGGGATGCCCTCCGTAATTCCGGGCATACACTGCCTCCCCCTGGGCGAAGGATTGGGCACCCCCATGGGAATCTAAGGGAGTTGGGGTGGAGTAAGCA